CGGGACCATTCGTACTGAATACTCGTAGTTAAGACGTCTTTTCGCGATGCCTGTGTATTCTCGAGAACCGCCACCCCAACTTCGTCCAACCTAGGTTGTTCAACTGCAAGTGCAACGGGACTTGCCCTGCGGTACTGACAAGACCGTAGCATATAATCAAAGCATACACATTTAACGCAAGTTAAATTGTCTATTTTCTTATGGTTGTGTGGGTTGTGGACAACTAAAATGTTGATGCGTGATTTATTTTGAGAGTTTCGGATTGACACATGCAAAGTGTGACTTTTCAGATGGAAGGATTTTCTTTCTAAAAGGGGGTCTATTTTTCCGTATATAAACTTGTCGCTGAGGACGAGGTAATTAGCAACAAATTTGCTAACTACCTAGAATGTGGAGACTGAAGTAAAATACAGAGGTACGGAAAAAATCCTAGTAAAATCCATATTCGGAGAGCACCCTTTTAAAGGTCAACACACTCGCCCACCTTTCCACATGAGCTCAACGTTCGTGATTGCCCAAGTTGGCTCCGTGTTCAAAGACAGCAGATCGAATAAAAAAACACCAGAAAAAGAAAAGGCGGTAGGAAACAAAGAGACTTTAAACATGCAATGGCGTGTTTTCTGCTGTTGAGGCTCCAACCCGAAAGCATTTCGCCGATCTCCCCTCCCGCTCCCACGAGTCACTCGGTCGGGGCTCCTCCAGCCTCAGGGTCTTGGGCTGAGTGAGGGGGGGCTGGGGGGGAGTAGTGGTGCAGGAAGTGGGAACGCGACGCCGTGCGAGGCCAGCGTGCTTCCGCCGCGTCACGCTCGCGCACCGCCCCAGCACGCTTGCTTCCCACCCATGGGCCTCCGTTTGATCGCCGGGTGCGAGTAGATTTTTGACTAACGGCTAAAGCATAATGATAAATGGAACGTGTGTGTAATTGAACTTTTGTAATTTTCCAGAGGTTCTGATGAACATTGAACCTGTTGTTGAACCATTGTCGTATCATTTATCACAGGTACCACCACGAGTGTTTTGGAAATTATCGATAAATCCTCAACTCACGAAGGGAGGAGGGGGTTTCTAAAGCACGAGTGGTATTTAATTGAACTATTCCACAAATGTAATGATGTCCAACAGAGTTCAAAATACGCCAAAATATTGAAAAATAACTACGCTAAATCAAAGAGGTTAATGTTATTGTAAATATGCGAGTTTATTGGAGATGACATAGCGACCGATTAATTCGTACAACCTCCTAAGTAGAATGCATGCCGAGTGTTAGATGGCAGGTAGAGAGAAGGTCCAGAAAAATCGGATCGAAAGCGATAATTTTTTTTGAGATATACCTCCTGTTGGGGCATTTGGCTATAGTTAAATCACGCCGACCCTACACTCGGTCGTGTTAAACCACTATTTTTTTTAATTCACGAGTGGAATACTCACCACTTAAATTATCAACTTTAAATGAAAATAAGCATGTAGCATTTGGATATTTTTTTAGTTAAGTACGTTCTTAGAAGTCAACCTACGATCACATCAGTATTTTGGTCATCTAGCATGCAGTAGGCATTCATCATTCGGCTTCACCAAATAGTTTTCAATCGCGGTTGGAAACGATGGTCTGAATCCTGTTGCCTTGCCAAAAGTACGCCGAAGAAAGAGTTCAAACTGGCCGAATGTTATTATTATTATTTATTATTATTATTATTTATTATTATTATTATTATTATTATTATTATTACGAGACACGGCTAACTATCATGAACTTTGGTATTAAATCACCACCATCTCTAAGGAACACTCCATACGTGTCCTATTCGTTCATTTGCATTGTTGTCAAATATACTTGGCTTCTCGAACACTTTCAGGGAAGGTCGAGTCGAAGAGGCACATTGCCCTTCCTTTCTCTCCTCTCTTCATCTCAATCATTTAGCACTTTAATCTGTCAACCATCGCTTCGCCACTCTGCATTGCGTTGTTGCGGGGGTCCTACAATGCGCGTCAAGATTAGTCAGCGGCCCAGAATCCCTAGGGGGGCCGCTTCAGAGACCTCGAAGATGGGATAAGGCGATTTATTTCGATCATATGCCAATCATAATCATATTTACGGTGCACGTGGAGTTTTATTGAATTAATACTCACAGAAATGGATGATCCAAAATTCCATTCAAGTGTTATTTTTCACTACATACAATAAGATGAGCTCGTTTCTCTGCAATCTGATGGATTTTCCTGGTCCTACGGAAGGAAGGGGTAGCGAGGGGTCAATTTCCAATTTCTTGCCGAGAGAGCTGCCTCTAGATTCCTTCACTGGTCAATGGTTGGAAGGGAATCTGTCCGGAGCTAAGAATTTTGGAAGCATTCGCGATGACTGCACGTCATATAAAATGGATTTGAGTCCTTTCTTTCCGAATCTATTCGTACTACAGTTAGGAGGAAGTGAAAGACACGTCAGTGGCGTACTTGCTTAATATAATCTGGCTTCGTGTGTGATCCCCACTTTCCTGAATGCCGCTATTTTCAAGCCTCTGGCGCGAGGCAAAAGACCTTCTGACGAGAGTCTGTAAAAATAATACTAGTATGTTCAAAAGATGAAGTAATATTAAATACACATGACCCAAACGCCTGACAAACACAAAACATTTAGGATAGCTACTGAAGAATATGCAATCCAATTTCTTCGATTTTTGTGTGTAGAAGAGCACTCTGTTTTCTGTGAAGACAGTTTTGCAAGCTATTTAACATACATAGTTTAATTTGCCGTGAATGTTTAGTAATCTAATGATCTGGCCCGTTATTGGATTACAGCTACTACTGCTGTAGGCGATATTTATTTTTTGAAAGAAAAGCTCATGTCCTCTACCTGCTAGGACTCTACTCTTAATTCCAGAACACGACAGTCTTGTTTCACTTCAGTGCCTCTTTCTTGAAAATAAAGAACCGCCTACGCATACAAACCAACTATAGTTGACTTAGGTGAATCAGGGCATCAATATTGATGTCACTGCAGTGTCTATGACCGGGAGGTCCTAAAGTTAGAGTCCCGACGGTGGCGGATTTTCGACACTCGGTAGATAGCTAGGTCGAATTCAGCTGCTGTCTGGAGGAGAATTCTAGCGGCCGGATGCTCTCATCGGTAGTTTATAGTAGTTTCTTCTAATAATCCCAGACGAAAGCCGAGGCAGTACTCCATGAAACAGGCCACGGACCGCACGTTTTTTCCTCCTTCTTCCTTGTTCTATCCTCACCCCCTAACTTAAACTTCCTAATATACACTATATTACCACACCCGCCCGGAGCTTAGAGCGTCTCCCAGCTGGGGCGGTGCCACGCTGGTGGGAGATACCTGGTTGGGGATAACTCTGCAAGCAGACGGGTAGGTCTGTGCCGGATCTCGCTCTCCACCGGGGAAAGATCACCGCCAACTCCCGCGATAAAAAAAATTCTCTACGCTTACGTGACAAATTACCTTAGTAGGTGTCGCGTCCGGAATCACTAATCAATCAATCAACGAGCCAACCTCGAACGTGGTTTATCGGCCTGGGAAGCGATCCCAGGAAAGCGACTTTTTTCTCTTCTCTTAAAACATTTGTTAGTAGATAAAGCAATTGTTTTCGCGGACATTTTTTCTCCCTTGAAGTGGTTTGAAAACTAAAGGAGAAAATTTCTTGACTTGTATTTTTTGTTATGCTCCTTCAGTCTCTTAAGAACGAACTTTTAAGAAGAGTATTTTGTTATATGATAGGTTCTTTTAATTGTTGTGCCACAGACGCATCTAATTCGAGAAGTCCAGAAATGTGCAAAACAAATTCTTAATACTTGCGCAGTTCTCTAGCGGGGCGGGGCGGCGCCGGAGCCAGCCCGGAAGTGCAGTCGGTTCCCAGACGCCGCTCCGCACCGCGCGGCAATTGGCAGTTCCGGCTCGCGGTGCGGGGGCGGCTGCGCGGAACGAAACGACCCCCCCCCTTGCGGAGGGAGCGGGAATTAAGGTCGTCACGACGCGACCCATCGAGGAATTCTTCTTCTCTCGAGTAAACCAACAGGCTTCTAATTTTGAACGGACTCATTAAATGCTTCTCCACAACTTTTGCTCTCACGCTGATCCTACTTCTCAGAAGACAGTGAATTTGTATATTTGTAAACCGTAAGCTCCGCTCATCGAACTGCTACAATTTCAAAATTCATTTAGGAAAATCTCAGAATTCACCATGTTCCGACGTGAGGAATACGTGAGATTGAAAACGGCAAGTTAACATCATGGAATCGAACAGGTGTTTCATTTCGGTGTAACGTAACAGACAATGCGACTCTTTTAAATATCCAAATGAATTTAAGCGAGCTAAGGCAATCCGCAACCTTTAGTGGAGGAATTCGTGCACAGATTTTGGTATCTAAAGAGCAACAATTGCGAACAAGTTGCCCAGTTTTGATTCCTTACATTTTAATAGGTGTAAAAAAAGAAATAAATAAAAATATGAAACCAATAACGTCTGTAATACACTTTTTGATCAAATATGTTTATTTCGGTAAAACTTTTTTCTCTTCTCTTAAAACATTTGTTAGTAGATAAAGCAGTTGTTTTCGCGGACATTTTTTCTCCCTTGAAGTGGTTTGAAAACTAAAGGAGAAAATTTCTTGACTTGTATTTTTTGTTATGCTCCTTCAGTCTCTTAAGAACGAACTTTTAAGAAGAGTATTTTGTTATATGATAGGTTCTTTTAATTGTTGTGCCACAGACGCATCTAATTCGAGAAGTCCAGAAACGTGCAAAACAAATTCTTAATACTTGCGCAGTTCTCTAGCGGTCACGGAAACCACGAACAACGTATTTGGGCTCTCCGAACTCCAAGGAGAGATAATTCAAGGTCTGTCAACAAAGCCTCTGCAGTGCCAACACGAGCGCAAAAGCGAAATCTGCCTCGTGCTTGCCACGCATCGGCTGCGTGAGAATCTCCCACTGGGGTCCCATTGAACGCAAATAAGAGGACGAGCGCAAGCGGATTTGATGAGCGTACTCCGATCAAGATCTTGCGCGTCTCGGTGCGGTGGCAGCGCGTCCTCCTCAACAAGACGACGCGCAGAGAACAGACCATGAAACTGCTTAAAAAAACATGTCTTTTCATTGCCATTGTGCATCTCGTCGGACAAAAAGTTGGTTCCTCGCCTAGAATATTCTTTACAGCCCAGAGACGTGGGTGAATAAAGTACGAAAATAGGCGTTTTTCATAATTGTTAGATTATTTTATTGTGTGGTTGAATGTAAGAATTTCTAAGAAAATGATTAATAATGCCTTAGAAGGCGCAATAGCATTATAATCGATGAGTTAAAGCTTTCGTACAATTGTTACTAATGGTGCGCGTATATTCAACAGATTGGGAGTTAAACTATCAAAAAGGCCGTTCCACACATGTTGCATTCGGTATTCGCCCTATCTACTGCGTGTCGGTCTTTAGAACACATCAAAGGGAGCGGACTTTCGCCGAACACATCAGCTGTTCGTGATTGGGCGTGCAGTGACTCGATGCTCGGCGATTGCCGAATATGTGGAGCCGCCTCAATGGGAAGAAACGTGTTTTTCCTACAAGGCTGGTGAGCGTAGCGGCATGCACGCCTGCCAACCCCTGGAGGAGAAAGGACGCGCAGGAAGGTGGCTTCAAGAGAGGCCGTTGCGGCGGCGGTGGTGGCTCCCGGGCACGCCTCCACGCGTGCGCCCCTCCCCCTCCCCCTCATCGCTCTCAGCGCTTGCGCAAGAGCCACCGAGCGAACAAAAGAGGGAGGGACGGGTTGCGCCAGCGCCGCTACCTGCGCTCACCGCACGCGGCGCTGCGCGAGGCTCGGGTCGCTACACACGTTCGGCATTCGGCGGGTAGCGAGCGACTGCTCGCCCAATCGCGAGTAGCTGACATGTTCGGCGAATGTTCGCTTTCTTTGATGAGTCGAGAACACCGACATGCTTTGGATCGGGCGAGTACCAACGTTTGACGCTCGGCAAATGCCGAGTGTGTTTAGCCGCCGTCAGAACAAGACACTCCGCCTGCCTTTCAAGTTCGGTCAGATGATAAAAAAAATACTCACCCTTACAAAAATATGGATGCAATGTGTGAATGCAATTTGTTGAAACCTTGTGTAAAAATTTCATTGTAATTCTTGAAAATTTTTATGGAAGACCGTGCTCATATATTGCTTGATCACATTCTAAATTTATTATTATTATTATTATTATTATTAATATAATAATAATAATAATAATAACAAAACCATTTCAATAACGAAGCAACCTGGTTAAAGGCAGAGCAAATCCGTGCCAGTAAAATCGAACTTACGCATTATCATGAAATCTCCACCCATGACATCAGAAATGTAATAAAAAAGCGCAAACAGTTGGAGAGCTCTTGGGCTTCATTGAATTCAGAATTGCTGGTTCAAAGGATTCCGCAGCGTTCACATTCGATTTTCAGAACTAATAAATTCTGTCCTAAAAGAGTTACAAAAAATGTCTCGATGAGGTTCCTTTCCCAAAGTACTATACCCATCTAATACCTAAAGATGTGAATTATCGTCAGGTCCCGTGTCAATACCGTCCAATCACATGACTTCCAGCACTGTGTAAGATCACTATATCAAGCCTTCGCAAATTATTAATATCCATTGTGAACGAAATGGAATTTTAAAGGAAGAGGAAAAGGGTTCAAAAGATTGTAAGGAGCAACGAATAATAAGTAATATTAACATGGCGTCTAAGAACAACAGGAATCAGAGAATGGAATAGGTGTATTTTAAGAAAACCTTCGATTCTGTTTCCATACTCGGAAGCCATTCAAATGACGTCTGCAAAGCACACGTTGACACAGAATCGTCGAATTACTCGTTACATCTCCCGGCAGATTTTCCCTGAAATGAAAGGATTCCGGATCTCCATACAAGATCATGTAATTCCAACATCCAATTAAAGAAAATATTTTCTTAAAGAACACAGTGTGGAATGATGGCCCCTGCACGGTGGTGAAGAAATTTAATCGAAACGGCACATTACATGGGGCTATACATATTTAGCTGGATGAGAGTACAGGAACAGCCACGATGCAGTAGCAAAAATCGTCCACCAAAAGTCGGCTCTGTACCATGATCGGAAGGTGTCGAACTATGTATATGTATGTACACAGTGTGTTTTGGAAAATTGTTCTCATCGTTTGTACTAGGACACCGATTTTCACAAACTGCAGTCTTCAGTTTTCGATCTGATATTGTTTTATTCCAAGAAGAAAATTGGCAAGATATTGGATTATCAATTCCGTACGCTTAAAGTCTTCAGGTTAAATCTAAGAAAAAGAAGGCTAAGTGTGTGGGCATCTTCGAATCTATCAAGTGACGAAGGAATTAAAACCAAATGATAAACACTCGTCTCTAACATTCAGTGCTGAAGCCATCCCGAAGATCTTGCATCAAGTCACAAATAGATGAATCTTTATGAAAACCTACGACAGCTGGTACAGCATCTTCTGAACGACTGGAATCGTCAGAAAGTGTGTGGGGAAATGACATCGATAAAATAATTAGGATCAAATTATATCCAAAATTTATACTGTGATTGGATAAGCTGTACAATTTACACATACACACACCGCAAATATATATATATATATATATATATATATATATATATATATATATATATATATACATTTTGCCAAAAAAGAATAGAAAACGTAATGTACAGGTGATAAGTATGATCTATTGGTATAGTTTTCTTGAGCTCCGGAATTCCTACCCCACTCTTTTACTATGCGGAATGATGAATAATGGTGAATAAAAAAAATCAGATATTTTCTTACATTATTATTGAGTGCTGTCGAAAGGAGACGTTTTTAGAGTTCGGCGAGCCTCCTTCAGTTACCTCAGTGACTGTGGGAGCGCGTCAGCGTCTGAGATAATTTTCACCTTTAGGTGTGAAAAGTGTCACTGACGCCGTGATCTTTAACCTTAATTTCCGAGAAACTTTGGCGATCGCCAATGTTCAACACTTCGATGAGAATGCTGCCCGCTGCAGTGATTGCTGGATGTAGATATCGCCAGTTGGTTATACGAGGGCTTCTACTGCGTCTAGTGTGGCTGCTAAACTACCGTCCTGAATAGCAATAGACGAATCTTTTATTACTGACGCGAAAGTTGTATGGTGCAAAATGTGCGTTAACTGGTGCTTTCCGAATAATTTTTAAAAAGTTTGCAGTTTTAAAAATTTGTTTAGGAATTATTTGATAAATGTAATTATATATTAGGTAAATATGTTTTTTAATTAGTGTATTTTAATATGACATATTTTATCCAATTTTACATATTTATTACATATTCTTGCTGTTCATTACATGTTTATATACATATTTTGACGTTTCGTACTACATATTTTTCCGGTCTCGACTTCTAATCAGGCGAAAGAACGAGGCAAACATGACCGGATAAGAGTATTTTAAGAAAATGGAATTTTTATTTTACTTTCAATATCTGTATATTATATCTGTAACAGTAACAACACTATTTCAATACTATCTCCTCTGCGATTTACACAAAGTCGTTTCCTAGTCATCTTCAATTACGAGTTATTATTTTATTTCTGCTCAAGAAGTTAGTCGAGCCTGTGTAACGAGGTGCGGCCAAGTGTGGTAAATTTTTGGTGTTGACGTACGCCCACCTACGAGATACAAAATGCCATTCAGGAAAGTCACCCTTCAAATAGTACTTCGTCGTAACTATTTATAACGCACTTCTCCCACACCTCTTGGTACCAACTCTTGTCACTTATACCACCGCCCCATACCGAATATAAACGTTGCATTTCGTGCCATTTTATTATGTAGTTATTACTCACTGAATTATTGGTATTGTGCATTACATAACATGTAAATTGGTATCTATTTTCCGCGTTTCATCATTTCAAGCATCATTATTATCATTAATGACATTGCTATTGATTTTTTATTATTATATTTTTGTTGTTATTGTTTTATTTCAGACGGAAACAAGCGTGCTGTGAATGTTTTCAATCATAGACACATAGCTGGCCCGGGGGGGCCCTGCCTGAAAAATTTGAAAGGGTCCTCATAGCTTTATATAGTGAATTTTTTTCTATTTTCGTAAATATGTTCAGTCCTTGAACATCCTTTTTTTCATCGGACAGTTTGGGAGATGCATTAGGGAAGCGGCTCGCCAACCCATCTCAGTGCAATTCCCTCGTCACTTTCCATACGAGTTAACAACCAGTCCAATGCAAACCAAAAAGAAGTTCTAATTGCAATAGAAACAGGAAAAGAAGTAGCAATTAACGTTCTTTGCTTTGAATTAGACGTTATTTCTTCTTTTCATTAACTTTATCCCTCTTAGGAAATACAAATAAGTGGTATATTTCGATATGATCTGTTCCACTGTGGGTAACCAATACCAGGGCAGCCTCGAAGGAAATTGTAAAGTGTCTTAAAGTCGGAAAAGAACGCATTACGCCAGTAAATTCTAAGAAGGAAACACGAAACTATTAGTCACCTGATCGTCATGGCTTTCTACTACCAAGAATCTTAAAAGCCTTCATAGAAATTTCGAGGGAAATTAGTATACTGAAATGAAACTGTGTGATGAAACAATAAAAAAAGCCATCTTATTATCTTTTTTCTTTTTTCTTCATACACTTTCATTGCAGTTCTACGTTTTTCGAATTAGTTCAACTTTTAGGTATTATTTACACAAAATGTTCCTTTCAATAAGAGTTGTTAAAAATAATATTCAGCATAGCCCCGTTGTAAAGTGAGTGATCATTAGGGGGTGGATTTTAATGACCTAAAACATTCCCCAAAAGGATCAATACAATTTTCTTAAAATGCTTTAAAAATGCCCTGAAAACAAAGAACAAGACAACAAAGTTTGATTAAAGCCACTTCAGATGAAGCTGTTGGATATGTTATTGATGTAATCGAAGCTTCTTCCTTTCGTTAAAGTAAACTCAGCTTGCAAACTTTAGGTTTGAACTTCTTTTTTAAATAAAATCTCTGCCTTTATTTATCGCGAAATCGTCCGAATGACAATGGAGCCAACAGGCATCACAGGTTCCTCA